GGTGGGGCGAGTGTAGTTCGGAGGCCTCGCACTGGCTGGCGTCTGTGATCACAATCTCAGCACCCCCGAGAGGAACAAATCCTGACTCTTATTTCAGAAGGATGCAGTGTGGATTAAAAAACAGACGCTCTGGGGGTTAGAGAAAGATGACTCCAGCTCTCGGGAAGGTACCATTCCATGGAAAGTCTCGTTCGACGGCTACTTCAGCGAGACCGCGTTTCGGGGAGCAGGGAGCGGCCCTCAGTTTCCAAACAAACTTTAAGAAGTTTTCGACACGACTTAGAACAGATGAGACGACCGTGATGGCCTGGGCTCCGAACTCAACGTGGGCGGTGACTCGCTGTGACTAGACTAATTCATTGTGATTTCCATGGCAAAAAAAGCATGTTGCCATCACCCGGAATACAGTTAGATTTTCACTTTCTTCTCGGAGCCCAGGTAGTAATGATATGCAATTATCACCTTAGATTTTATTTATTACCAATAAATAAAATCTGATCATAAAAGCATGAGAAAAAAAATATGTATAGTAACATTTCTAGTAATCTACTAAAAGTCAACAAAAGAATAAAAATCTCCATGGGATGAATCGGGCGCTTTAAACAGACCCACTTACAGATGCTTAATATTTTAATTATTGGTTTGATTTTCATGCCGGGGCATATCTGCTATTTCAAAGTCATATTTATACCCAAGCAGCCCAACTTGTACACAGTCGGGCCTCTATGAAAGTCAATAAGAGGCACCGCAGAGCCGTGTGTGTTTATGAATCTTGTGAATTTCTCATAAAAATGAACCACGAACCCCAGGAGATTCACCGCCCTGAGTGCTTTCTCATTTTAGCTCTTTGTTCAAACCGAGGACTCGTAACCGAAGCGAAAGCCGTTTTCAGGAGCAATTTATTATGTTGGATAAAGTGTTAATCAGAGTTCTTGCTCAGCCCCAGCTGACATGAAAGACGGGCTGCTTTGTGCACGAGAAGGAAGGAGGGCTTGGTGAGTAATTACTGCAAGTTCCAGTTTAATTACAGGCTCCGAAGGAAGTGGTGCTGCTCAGGACCCAGCACAAAGAGCTCCCTTTGTCACCAGGAATCTGCACGCCCTTCCTCGGCTTGTCCTCTCAATATAATTTTCTTAAAAGCTTCAAGAATGATGCTGAATCGGGCAAGTTGAAATCTATCGGTCACTAATAACACTCTTCAGACCCATATATGTATTCAGACATCCGGGGCTCTACGTTAACGAGCGTGCCATGAATGACAGAATTTAGATTTGGCTACCGGTACGAAAGCACGAATGCCTGCTTTTAGGGGATACCTGGGCACAAGGAACACGTTAGGTGGACACTAGGTTTGGAAGTGACTAAGATGCGTGGAAAGCCGCAGAGAAAACCCGTGTGAGAGTTAAAATCCTAAACACGCGTAGGTGTCCTCGAGGGCCTTTCCCACGTGGACGGATGCCTGGTACAAGCAATTCACCGGGGACTGTACTCACTCTATTGACAAGCCCAGTCTCGAAGCCCCTGGCCCCATGCTCCATCCCTTCCCGATACTCAGACGAGTTCCTGTCTCAGAGCTTACTAGACATGTTTTGCTTCTGTGACATTCTAATAGGAAACATTTAGGACGCGGTTAATAACGCGGAGCGAGCACACAGTGTGGCAGAATGGGGGCAAGCGCTGGAGGAGAGAAGAAGGTTCATTTGCCCAACCGCACAGCAGCCGGGCACGCGTGGCTCTGGAGGGCCCTGCCCACCAACACCCTGGTCCCCCGCTGGGGGTCTTCCCCACTCTCGGCCCTATTCAAAAGCATCTCCCCCAGCCCCAGTTCCCAGGTGATGAGGCAGGAAAAGAGCCAGGCCTGTTACGTGACACGCGCCCCGATCACGTCTAATCCTCAATATATAAGACCCATCACCCAGAGTCAGGCCACGACCCTGTACTTCGCCTCCACACGGACACAGCTCCCCGTGAGGCCCGAGCCGCCGACACCCCATCCCCCGGCCACGAACGTTACTCACATACTGTTGAAGAGCTCGCGGTAGGTCTCGTCGCCTTTGCCTTCTGACATCAGGCTGTCCAATTTGTCAATGAGCTTGGCCTCCACCTGCAACACACCCGAACAGGGCTCTCCCTCTGCTCCCCTGCACGAGTAGCATTTCTGGGCAAACGGAAGCAGAGCTATAACCGCAAGAGGAAAAGCCTCGGTGGGAAGATCGGGTGGAAGCGACAAGATCGGCTGCGGTTCGTAGCAGACGGAATTCTAAGGGGCTAATTTAGACGGCGCATCGTGGCTTCCAGCTCCCCCAGGGGCTGCTCTCGCTCCTGCCATAACACCTATTTGTTGATTCCAACGCAAGTGCTTCCAATGTTGGGATTTTTTTTTTTTTTTTTTTTTT